AAAGTCACATAAAGTCGTCTGTGGGTAAACACAGGCTCTTGTAGCAAAGGTCTGGCCTTGAGCCCTCTTTATAGTCATATATTTCAGACATTATACAGTGTGTTCAACTTTGGGTACTGTCAGTATATGTGCTTCAAGGACATGAGAGCACATGCGCTAGAACACCATACCTGTTCCATCGGAAAGATCCTATAGGCATTGGTGAAAGTGTAAATTATTATTTTGGAAATGAACAAAAATTGCAGATATGACAACATATTAAAGGAATAAATTCATTTTAAAGACCTCATTAAAAACATAAAGTCGTCTGTGCGTAAACACAGGCTCTTGTAGCAAAGGTTTGGCCTTGAGCCCTCTTTATAGTCATATATTTCAGACATTATACAGTGTGTTCAACTTTGGGTACTGTCAGTATATGTGCTTCAAGGACATGAGAGCACATGCGCTAGAACACCATACCTGTTCCATCGCAAAGATCCTATAGGCATTGGTGAAAGTGTAAATAAATATTTTGGAAATGAAAAAAAATTGCAGATATGACAACATATTAAAGGAATAAATTCATTTAAAAGACCTCATTAAAAACAACAATTCTATATTTTTATATATACAATATAATCTAATTAATTCAACACACGATAATTCGACCATTTTTGGATGTCTCGACCTACGGCCTATCATATGACAAACTAATTCAACACTTTCGATAATTCAACTATTTTGGAAAATCAAATTTCAACAGTTGATATTTGTCTAAAACCCCTATTATTAACAACATATTAGACTGCAGAGTGCAAAAATGTAGAAAAGTGTATGTATATAATTGTATGCATATATTTGTATTTGTATTTTGTATTTGGCCTTGAGCCCTCTTTATAGTCATATATTTCAGACATTATACAGTGTGTTCAACTTTGGGTACTGTCAGTATATGTGCTTCAAGGACATGAGAGCACATGCGCTAGAACACCATACCTGTTCCATCGGAAAGATCCTATAGGCATTGGTGAAAGTGTAAATAAATATTTTGGAAATGAAAAAAAATTGCAGATATGACAACATATTAAAGGAATAAATTCATTTTAAAGACCTCATTAAAAACATAAAGTCGTCTGTGCGTAAACACAGGCTCTTGTAGCAAAGGTTTGGCCTTGAGCCCTCTTTATAGTCATATATTTCAGACATTATACAGTGTGTTCAACTTTGGGTACTGTCAGTATATGTGCTTCAAGGACATGAGAGCACATGCGCTAGAACACCATACCTGTTCCATCGCAAAGATCCTATAGGCATTGGTGAAAGTGTAAATAAATATTTTGGAAATGAAAAAAAATTGCAGATATGACAACATATTAAAGGAATAAATTCATTTAAAAGACCTCATTAAAAACAACAATTCTATATTTTTATATATACAATATAATCTAATTAATTCAACACACGATAATTCGACCATTTTTGGATGTCTCGACCTACGGCCTATCATATGACAAACTAATTCAACACTTTCGATAATTCAACTATTTTGGAAAATCAAATTTCAACAGTTGATATTTGTCTAAAACCCCTATTATTAACAACATATTAGACTGCAGAGTGCAAAAATGTAGAAAAGTGTATGTATATAATTGTATGCATATATTTGTATTTGTATTTTGTATTTGGCCTTGAGCCCTCTTTATAGTCATATATTTCAGACATTATACAGTGTGTTCAACTTTGGGTACTGTCAGTATATGTGCTTCAAGGACATGAGAGCACATGCGCTAGAACACCATACCTGTTCCATCGCAAAGATCCTATAGGCATTGGTGAAAGTGTAAATAAATATTTTGGAAATGAAAAAAAATTGCAGATATGACAACATATTAAAGGAATAAATTCATTTAAAAGACCTCATTAAAAACATAAAGTCGTCTGTGCGTAAACACAGGCTCTTGTAGCAAAGGTTTGGCCTTGAGCCCTCTTTATAGTCATATATTTCAGACATTATACAGTGTGTTCAACTTTGGGTACTGTCAGTATATGTGCTTCAAGGACATGAGAGCACATGCGCTAGAACACCATACCTGTTCCATCGCAAAGATCCTATAGGCATTGGTGAAAGTGTAAATAAATATTTTGGAAATGAAAAAAAATTGCAGATATGACAACATATTAAAGGAATAAATTCATTTAAAAGACCTCATTAAAAACAACAATTCTATATTTTTATATATACAATATAATCTAATTAATTCAACACACGATAATTCGACCATTTTTGGATGTCTCGACCTACGGCCTATCATATGACAAACTAATTCGACACTTTCGATAATTCAACTATTTTGGAAAATCAAATTTCAACAGTTGATATTTGTCTAAAACCCCTATTATTAACAACATATTAGACTGCAGAGTGCAAAAATGTAGAAAAGTGTATGTATATAATTGTATGCATATATTTGTATGTAAATAATTGTATGCAAATAATTGTATGTATAGATCAATGAGTAAAATAATTTTTTTTTGCTTATCCCTAGTACACGTGGTACAGGCCTTGATAATCATGGTGGGTAGAGTAGGCGACTGCTTTAACTGTAAGTACACCACATGTCTAAACATGTGAAAAGCAGTTCGACTTTGCATTTACAAATGTGCCAGAGCCCCGTTTGATTACTTGCGCTTGCTGGTGGGGTTGGACTTTTGCAAGAATCGGAAGCCATTGGAGCATTTTTTTTTTCAGAAAAAAGTTCCCAATGCGGGAATCGAACCCGGGTCGTAGCGGTCGAAAACCAACGGCTTAGACCATCCTTCCACCAACCCCCAGTAAAATAAGTAAGTAAAAAGAAGACCAAAAATAAGTGATAATAATTTATTGAATAACAAATAAAATAAAAAATCTTTCAGGTGAAAAATTATAGGCATTGGTAAAAAAGTAAACAAGAGAAATAGCAATTGGGGTTTTGTGTCTGCGGCGAGTCATATTAGCACGCCTAGCTGTTAGGGGAGTGAGTCTTCCACGGCCTTTTCGAGGCATGACAGAAGACGCTGAAAAAAAAAGGTAAAATAAGAACCAAGCAGAGGAAAACTATAAAACTGAAAGCCAGGACAGGCATAAAAAGAAAATTCCAAGCATGTGAGGAAACAATTGATGAAAAAAAAAGGATTCCAAAAAAATACTGCAAAAAAGAAACAAGACACAAAAAGCAACAATTGAGTACACAAATACAGCATCAGCCTATTTATGAGAAGAAAAAAAAACGACAGACACAAAAATGGAGCTAAATTTAAATGAAAAACTATAACAGATCAAGTAATCAAATCAGGCATTATGAAAGATACTGTAAAAAAGAAAATCAGACACAAAAATCAGACAAAAGAATAAATGAGATTTTATTCTTTAGTTCATTTATTAAATAAGACACAAAAATGGAGCTAAATTCAAATGAAAAACTATAACAAATTACTAAAAAAAAATAAGACCTAATCCAAATGTCACCATCATCAGACAAAAGAAAAAATGAGATTTTATTCTTTAGTTCATTTATTCTTTTGTCTGATGCTGTTGCTGAAACGTCACACACTATTAAATTATTTGGATTAGGTCTTATTAATGAGAAAAAAAAGATGCCAATGAGAGATGAAAAGATGCCAAAAAAGATAACCAGATACAAAAATTGTGCTAAATTCAAATGAAAAACTATAACAAACACTTATAAAAGATAAATATTATAGAATAAAAGTAATAATTCAATCTACAATTCGAAAAATAATATAACCTCAGCCTATTTATGAGAAAAAAAAACGTTGCCAAAGACATTAGGAAAGATACTGCAAATAGAAAACATACACAAAAATTGAGCTCTATTTAAATGAAAAACTATAACAAAGTACTTACAAATTATAATCATAATCAAATGAAACAGAAATATATATTATAAATAGCGAACCCGGCCACGCGTTGCTGTGGCTAAATTGTAATATGTTAAATTAACATTATACTAAACTATTCAGTACAGTAAAGTTAATATTCACTTATAAAGATAAAAATGTTTTAGCCGATCTAAAGCCCTACGGGATTGAGAATGGAACGTTACGTTAAAATTTGAAAGAGATTTTTATATATATCGATAAAATAGCCCTTCATTGTAATCATTGATTATAATCACTGCATTAATAAATGTCAGTGAACTCGTTTATATGTATTGTTTTTTGTTTTCGAGATATTCTAATAGAACGTTCTAACATTTTCTGTTAAATATTAATATATGCACAAACACAGAATATAATAACTATGTCTTAATTTCGCTATAATTATTGTTATAAATATTATTCTAAAATAATTCGCAAGAAATCGTCCTGATAGTATACTAAACAACTTCCCAAAGTTTCATGGCAAACATCTAAAATAAAATAATACTTTTAATACTTTGCTACAATATTAAAAAGAGGGGGGCTTAGGTGTTTAAAATGTAAAATGTGCTCTAAATAGTATTACATAGAGCCTTCATAACAAACATATTTAAAATAAACCAATCAAAATATAATAATTTAAAATACAATATAACGCGGCTGATGATTGTAAAACGAAAATTAAAATTATACCGCGAATGTTTCTTTTAAAAATCGAAATTTATTTTCAAAGAGAAATAGCGACATTTCTAACTTTGAGGATGAGGTATGGAAAGGTGAAACATGAAGAGTAATGGAGAACGGAAAAATAAAAAGTGTCCAGGGGCGGGAATCGAACCCACACCCTTCTGCTTACCGGGCAGGTGCCTTGTCCACTCGGCTACCCTGGACGTATTTTTCCGTTCATAACTTATATTTAAAGTAACATTTAAAATACAATATAACGCGGCTGATGATTGTAAAACGAAAATTAAAATTATACCGCGAATGTTTCTTTTAAAAATCGAAATTTATTTTCAAAGAGAAATAGCGACATTTCTAACTTTGAGGATGAGGTATGGAAAGGTGAAACATGAAGAGTAATGGAGAACGGAAAAATAAAAAGTGTCCAGGGGCGGGAATCGAACCCACACCCTTCTGCTTACCGGGCAGGTGCCTTGTCCACTCGGTCCACAGCCGCGTTATATTGTATTTTAAATGTTACTTTAAATATAAGTTATGAACGGAAAAATACGTCCAGGGTAGCCGAGTGGACAAGGCACCTGCCCGGTAAGCAGAAGGGTGTGGGTTCGATTCCCGCCCCTGGACACTTTTTATTTTTCCGTTCTCCATTACTCTTCATGTTTCACCTTTCCATACCTCATCCTCAAAGTTAGAAATGTCGCTATTTCTCTTTGAAAATAAATTTCGATTTTTAAAAGAAACATTCGCGGTATAATTTTAATTTTCGTTTTACAATCATCAGCCGCGTTATATTGTATTTTAAATGTTACTTTAAATATAAGTTATGAACGGAAAAATACGTCCAGGGTAGCCGAGTGGACAAGGCACCTGCCCGGTAAGCAGAAGGGTGTGGGTTCGATTCCCGCCCCTGGACACTTTTTATTTTTCCGTTCTCGATTACTCTTCATGTTTCACCTTTCCATACCTCATCCTCAAAGTTAGAAATGTCGCTATTTCTCTTTGAAAATAAATTTCGATTTTTAAAAGAAACATTCGCGGTATAATTTTAATTTTCGTTTTACAATCATCAGCCGCGTTATATTGTATTTTAAATGTTACTTTAAATATAAGTTATGAAAGGAAAAATACGTCCAGGGTAGCCGAGTGGACAAGGCACCTGCCCCGTAAGCAGAAGGGTGTGGGTTCGATTCCCGCCCCTGGACACTTTTTATTTTTCCGTTCTCCATTACTCTTCATGTTTCACCTTTCCATACCTCATCCTCAAAGTTAGAAATGTCGCTATTTCTCTTTGAAAATAAATTTCGATTTTTAAAAGAAACATTCGCGGTATAATTTTAATTTTCGTTTTAAAATATAATAATGCTGTAAAAACAGACCTTTCTACAATAAAATAAAAGAAACGAAAATAAAAAAAGACACCCACGCTGAGCCTCGAACCTAGGTTTGTTACAAATATTATTAAAAAATTGTGTATGTTAATTTTTATTTTAAAAAGCCTACATTTTAAATAAAATAATATTTTTAATAATTTGCTACAATAATATAAAAGAAATGAAAAAAAAAAACACCCACGCTGAGCCTCGAACCTAGGTTGCGGGGGTACGAAGCTGCGTACCTAACGTATAAGCTAAGCTTGACGTTACAAATAAGATCATGCGAGGCTATTTAAGGCCATACGTCTGCCGCGAGGGGGCGCTGATTGCGAGTGAATCTACGTTTTATCGTAAATAAAAATGCAACGAAAGGTTATTTCTAAAGAGTAATTAGCCAGAAACCATCCCGGTAGTATACTAAACATCTTCCCAAAGTTTCATCACGATTGGTTGTAGTAATAAGACAAAAGAACGCATTTCAAAACAAAAAAATTGATGATGATAAATGCAAAAAATCTACGATTGTAAAATAGATTAAATTAAAAAATAAAAATAACTGTTAACATTAGGAAAATAAAAACAGGCCTATCATATGAAGAAAAAAATAACGAAAATTTTGGTATATAGATCGTTATGTGTAGTTCAGAATCTTCGGAGGAGATAGCTCAGGACTTTACAATGGAAAACTCTGTTACGGTATTATCTATATAGATAATATCAATTATCTCTGTACATAAAATATAATGAATTCTTTGCTACAATATTATCAGGCATAAAATGAAGGAATATAAACGACTGAATGTTAAAGTTCAACCCAAATTTATACCTTTAGCACATTATTTTATAAATCAAAATTAAAAGTACCTAAAATATATTAATATAAATACTATGTACGAGTGGGAGACCCTAAATTAACCGGTATCGTGATGCTAGGCATCGGGTATTTGTAGTACCAGATTGCGCCGCGAGGGAACCGTGGTTCGAGCGCAGTTTCTATGGCAGCACTGTGTATGTGTGTTTTTAGTGCACTCGTCACACGAAAAATCGGCTTTTCTCATGTTCTCAGCATGCGGTTGTGAAATTACTGGGTAAAAGAATTCAGAAAAAACTACTGTGATAATGCCAACAGACTATAAATGACATGCTTTAGTAAAACATAATTATACGAATGGTTTTCGGTTTAAAAGGGACGAATATCCATTGAATATCAGCCCTATTCCTATCCTTCTTTAACTTTTCGAACCAAGTCCCACAACATCAAAATCAGTAATCTCATCAATGAAGATCAAGACGGAATATTCGAATAACTTGATACCTATCTGGGTTCTCCTGGAGCATCAATCTGAACTTTTATTATACTTGTGATTTGGAAATGCAAAGAGTGGTGATAAAGTTTGTACTCTGACTTCTCACCGAGAATCGAAAGGTTTTTTTGCATTTAAGCCTGACTACTTTGACTCCCCCAAGCGCCCTTTTCGCCATTTTTAGCTCTCATGGACTTTTTTCAGTAGCTAGGATAAAAAGGTGTTGGAAGGAAACTGTTTGTCGAGGTTGACTACGTAAAACGTCATGTTACGAACTTGAAAGTTTCAAAGAGAACAGATTTGAAAGGCGCTTGGTTTATGAAGAAAATGGGTTGGCCATATATTAAGGAACAAGTTAAATCAACGCTTCGATTATTTTTGTTCTACTAGGTGGCGCTCTGCTATCTAAAAATGATCATGTGCGCGGTCAGAATATTATTTTCCTCTTTTTGTTTTTAACACTTGAACGTTTCTATTTTATCTGAATTTTTCACGCCGACACATACACACATATATAATACAATATAATGGAACAATATAAAGTTGGATATAAATATAAGTTGCACAAGAAACTTAGCCCTGGAAGCTTTATTTATTTTATAATTTAATTTAAAACAAAATTCTAAAGGAGTTGAAAAAATATCCCAAACATAGTTCAAAAATATAATTGTGCGTTCTGTAAATATCAACTTATTATTACAAGAGAGAGAGAGAAAATAAGCAAAACGAAAACTCTTACAAATGAATTACACTGCGTGGCATTGAAAATGGAACACCAAGAAATAGTGGCCAGAAAGTGATGAAACTCGGCAGACAGAGAGAGACAGGGACGAACAATAAGTGATCTTTATTTCAAAATGATAGTCATAATACAGAGCGAGAACGGCGTCGGCTTAGTAGCAAGTAGGACCACCGCGGACGGCGATGCAGCCAGCAACACGTCTAGGTAGAGAGTCAATCAGAGTACGGATGGCGTCCTGAGGGATGGCTCTCCATTCCCTCTCAACCATTTGCCACAGTTCGTCTTCTGAACGCGGCTGTGGCAAGGCATGCAAACGGCGTCCAATGATGTCCCAGACGTGCTCGATTGGTGAGAGATCAGGAGAGTACGGTGGCCAGGGAAGCATCTGTACATCTTGCAGAGCTTGTTGGCTAATGCGAGCAGTGTGCGGTCGGGCGTTATCCTGCTGATAAAGAGCATTGGGTACCCCCTGAAGGTAGGGGAGTGTCACCGGTCGCAGCACATCATCAACGTATCGTTGGGCCGTCATAGTGCCCTGAATACGAAGTAAAGGTGACCTGGAATCATACGCGATTGCGCCCCAAACCATGATTCCACGTTGTCGCACGGTGGGGCGTTCCACAATTGCTGCCGGATTGGACCTTTCTCCACGTCGACGCCACACGCTTACACGGCGACTATCACTGGACAAGCAGAAACGCGACTCATCTGAGAACACGACCCTGTGCCATTCCGTCATCCACGTCGATCTAGCCCGGCACCATTCCAAACGTTGGCGCCTATTCGGTGGGGGTCAATGGCAGTCTTCTTAGCGGACGGCATGAGTGCAAGCCATTAGCAACCAATCGACGTGAAATGGTTCTGGTCGAGATGGAATGATCTAGGGTGTCTTGCACATGTTGCAGGATGGCGGTACAAGTGGCTTGTGGGGCCGCCACTGTTTGTCGAAGGATACGCCGATCCACACGTGCTGACGTCACTCTGGTCGCACCGACATTCCTATAAATTGCCACATTTCCTTGTTCCAACCATCTTCTCCACAGTCGGTGCACCGTGGACGCACCAAGGTGTGTATCAGCTGCGATTTGACGTATGGACCAACCTGCCCTTTTCAGTCCGATCACCATGCCCCTCGTAAAAGCGTCTGTCTGCTTGAACTGCCTCCGTTTACGATGACCTGGCATTCTCTGTTATTACACGTGTCTTTTGACACAAGAACAAAATTTCTACAATGATTTTCCTTGAAGAAATAACGACACGAATACTGTCCTTTCTGCAAGTTCCTTCCCTTATATCTTACTCCATGTGCGCACGAGAGCTGCGCATTTTACATCATTTGCGTAACTCGGTTAGGCGCGTCTACCCTGAAATTTGCATAATTTTCTGGCCACTATTTCTTGGTGTTCCATTTTCAATGTCACGCAGTGTATATAACATGAACAACGGCGTCTGTGGATAAAATAAATTGCATAAACGAACCAGCTATGTGTAGACAAATTGTGTCAGCATTATTTCAATTTTATATTGTGTTTCTGTTAATACAAACTCTCAAGAATGTTAAAATGAATTTGCAAGCCGGTTTTTCTTAGTTAATTCACTGAAATTAGATAAGCATGGTCCAGTGAGAAATGGAATCAATAGTCCACATAGAAACAGAACAATATATTCAAAGTGATCAGGTGAAAATAGAAAATTCTGAATTCTATCCTCATTATAAGCACTTATACAGGTCATTTTTGACTGAAAGCTATTTACTTAGTGACCTTCCATTTCCAGTAAAACGCTAAATTGTGCAACAGAAAATAACCAAATCGTTTTATTTCAGGAAAACCATTACTATATCTTCAGTGAGTGGGATACAATATGCCATCTTTGCAAAAAAAAAAATAGAATTATCTCATTTCATCTTTGGGTGCCGCAAAAGAGACCTTTTTCTAAAAAATAAACGACAGCCAACTTACCTCAGTGCAAAGTATTTTAACCAACGCTATATCAAGTCGAATGGTTACTCTGTTCCTGTTTAACTTTTACAAAGCAGCAAGTTGAAAAATGAACTTCGATTTAGAGTTTTACCCCT